CTGTTTCCGTTTCTGCTTCCGCAATTTTTATAACGGAACTTTAATCCGAAATTTGCAACGTTCGCGACGGATGAAGCGCGCATGCGGATCATTTGGTGGTGGGGTTATACGTTATTTAGCAGTTTTGTTTTATGTTAAATGAAATTATAAAACCAAAATCAAGTCCTGTTTCGAACTATTTTCTTAAGATCTCTATAGCATTTATATTTCTGCTTCCGCTTCCGCATCCGCTTCTGTTTCCGCTAAGATTTACTTTTGACATCTGTTTCCGTTATGACACTATCGTTGCATCACTACTTTGTATGTGAATTGCTTTAAACTTATCTCTCTGAGACACACTAAAATCCATATATAAATTACCCTAACGACACTACCTATCTTTAATAGAACCCCTAGTAATATTGAAGATATTGGCGTGTTTAGTAACTCTTAAGCGAAATCTCCCACAGCCCCCGGTCACCACCTAGAGACGGTAACACTCCAAGTTTTGTGGTTGAAATTCCACTGCTTGCTTTCGGACGGTGACCGATTCAACCCTTAGTAACAATTATGAAAGTTTATTTTCATAAGTACTGACAATTTCTTTTTTTTATGGTACCTAGCGACAGGACCACCGCCTACCCATGACAGTTGCAGTCCTATTTAGAGTTTTGAATTACAAATATCTGAGGGGCACTGCGACTGTCCCAGGTGCCTATAATTTCACCAGCACCATTGTCCTTCAAAATCAGAACGCGATAATGATCACATTACCTATTTCTGCATTGGCGGCAGAAATAGGTAAGCTGGCAATACTTCCCTGGACGAACTCTTTCACAGCTATACTACTACAATACACTTTAAATAAAAAAGTTAACGACTAACTAAATATTAATAGGTTGTTACTGCATACAGAAGCGTGGTGCATTGCGTGTTATCAAGTAGCTTGCCATACAAGAAAACAAAAAGAAATGGTAAAGTACAAAAAAATCAACAATATACTGTTTAGTTTCCTTAATATGAAATATTGTAAATATAAAATACTTAATATACATCAGTAGCATCTAGAGCTTCTTGTGAAAGAGTTCGGGAAAGTACTGCTACATTACCTATTTCTGCTGCCAAGGAATAACATGAGCGTTACTGCGTTCCGGTTTTGAAGTGCAAGGATGCTGGTGAAATTACAGGCACATGAGCCTTTTCAATTTATGTTTCTGAGTGACGGGCGCAGTGGCAGCGTCCCTCACATCTTTGCAATTTAAAGCTCTGAGTGGCACTGTATGTGAGTGCTAAGGACAGGCGTGTGCTAGCACCAGGTGCACTACATGTTTGGCCCGTCACTTGCTATCATAAAAAATGTATGACCATGCAAATCAGAATTTAGCGTAATGTACTGTTTGACTTTATTACATTTACATATTTTTATTTTTTTTATAATACCAAGTGACGGAACGAACATGTCGTGCGCCTAGTGGTTAGCGACAAGCCGATCCATAACAGTTGCGGTGCCACTCTGAGCTTTAAATCTCAAAATCTTAGGGACATTGTCACTGCGCCTGTCATCCCTCAGGAGGATAAAAACAAAGTGACGCTATTATATTCCATCTCAGTTTGTACTGAAAATAAACAGATTATATTATTGTCATACTAACTCAACTCTAAAATCATATCTAACCGGACGTTGGCATATTCACATATATTTATACCTGTAGATAAGATGATAATTCTCTCTATAATGACATAAACGTACTTGCTATCTTATATAATATACTGAATGAACCATTTAGTCGTTTGTTTGCAAGTCTTAACCGACTTTAAAAGAGTGATTCACATTTCTATATTTACTCGTTAAAGTACTTAACTATCTCACAGGTTCGGTTATAAAAAGCATTGCCTATTTGAGATAATACCTCTATCTACAAGAACCGCAATGAAACATATATGTGTTAAACTTATTTCTAAATATCTTTAACCCTTTGTTTTTTTTATACTAGTCACTATCAACTTTATATCAATAACTATATAGGTACAGTTAAAACGAAAACCTTACGACTTCATTATAAAAAGCACATGCGTTACATTCCGCGCCGTCAACACAGCGAATTTAAATTTGTAATTCGAACAACATGTCTTCCTTTCCTTCGACCAATAACGGCGGCACATTTATTAAAAAAAACACTAGCTTCTCTGACTCCACCCATCGGAAACAGCTGCAACTATAATAATTACCATCGGTCTGTAGGTTCGTGGGTTCGAACATTGGGTAATCCTACACTTAAAACCTATAGATAAATCAATAATAGGTAGATAGTAAATGTTATTTAATCAGACCACCTGGCTTTGAGGGTACCTGTGACTGCACGCTAATTATTGGTCTCTACATTTTGGATGGTATTTAATTTATGTTCCAACACAGGTAATTTTTCATTGTTGTAGATCAGCGGAGTCTTGTTCTACGATCACAAAATTTTGTGAAAATTTACACAACTTTATATTTGCCGATGCTTTTACACTTTTATAAAGAAGCAAAATGACTTGAGATAAAAAGCGAAAGGTTTGATCTATGATTTGTTAGAAGTCTATTCAGATTTAAATGCGCCTTAATAAAGCCTAATTTTGTTTAGACTATAAATTACAGTAGGCAAATTAATGAAATGAAATGACCCAACCAATCTTGCTATAAATTTTTTGAATAAACCTTCTAATTTTACAAACATTTTAATATTCATTACAAATTATCACTTGCATAAATCTAAATATTTAATTCAAGTAATAAATAATCTACAAAAAAATACATATATTATGACATGTCCAACCTCCTACGCAAATCTTGCATAGAGTCTCTTTTTAAATACTACTTTATACATTTGATTACTCTCCTATGTTTACATTTACGATTTTGGATAGTTATGGGCGAGCACGATTAGGACTTCAAGTTTATGATCTCACTCATTAATTGACTGGTTTTTTAAGGTAGTAATATTTGGAAAAACATGACCATAATCTTCCCACACACATAGGGACCTCTAAAAAAAATTCGATTGGCTAAAGCTGCTTATTACGATTCGAGAAGTAACATAATAATATAATATAAAGTGAGAAATTTTCTAAGCATCAAAGTGTTTACTGCTACATACAATACTATTTTGCAACATCTAAACCGTCAGTAAGGTTTTATTACCCGCACCATTTTCATAAGAGCTTCCATCAACACTTTCGTAATAAACCTGTCCATCGGGCGATAACATCACAATCTCAACTTCACCAAAAGCTAAAAGGCCGTTTATAGGGACATAAACGTTTATAGAATCATAAAGCAGAACCGATCTATTGTTTTCATTCGGCCTACGCATTTCAACGACATAACTAATCGAGAGATTCCGCTTTTTGTCCCCACATAATCAATTGTCACTTTGGTTTCCCACCTAAGTTTTAGACGTCTCGAACCCATTTGGAACTGGCTTGGGATAGCCTGTCGACTATAAACGATGAAGGTATCGTATTGCACGAGAAAAAAAGGTGATGAGTGTTGGTCTTCGGATGGTGTTGGCGCAAATAGATGACTCGACCGCTTGTGACACGCCGCACGACGACGATGTAAATCCTTACTCGATACTCGAATCTATCTGGATAGTGTTACAATGAATATTGAGATATTTGTTGTTTTTCCGCCACAGGATGTTTAAATCTATCCCTAGTTATACATAATACATCAGAGACATCGAATAGGACCGAGCAACGAAAGCAAGTCTATAAAGAAGAGAATGTTGTTTATACTGTTTACATTATTCGCCCTCTCACACATATGTATTACAGAGCTTACGTAAAGGTAGAAAGAGAATCAACTAAAACATCTTTAAACGCTTGAAAGACTACTTATTCGAAAATAAGCTGCTATCTTAATTGAAACTTTTTAAATAAACTACCCTCTAATGACAGTTATGAAACTGAGAATCTTTGATATAGGATTAACTTTTATAGCTACAATAAAATATCGAGACAACGCTCTCTTTCTCCTGTGTTTATAAACAGAGTCAGACAAGAATTGATAGCTAATGAAGAGCATTATTGAAATGGATTTGCATAGCGCAACAGCAATATTTCATCATGATACATCTCAACGGAAGGCATCATAATCGATTGCTCCACTTATGAGAGGCTACTTAACAATGAAGAGACATTGGAGCGCAATCTAAAGTCAATTAAAATGCTGTTTATTCATCCTCAGCTCGATCTGACGATGATTTATAGTTTTCGCAGCGGGCATCGGCGCGCGCGCACTGTCGCGGCCGCTTTTTAAATTAAAATCGTACCGGTCAAGGCGTGATCTTATCCGGCTCGATCAATTTAGATAAAATAAATATTTATACATTTGACCGTGGATGGGCGAACAAAGCGATTCCGTAAATTGATTATGTCTGTGGAGAATTTTCGACGTTCGCCCCTATTCAATCAACTGGTCAGATTCCAGATACGGCCTTATAAACTATCGACTATAATTAACAAATAATGTTATACATCGCTCAATTGAAACTCTATCTCGAATTGATCTTTATATTTAAATTGACTAACACCAACTTAATAATTTTTGAAATGAGTAATGACATATAAGGAATTTTAAATGAAAATTTCAAATAGTAGAGAAAAATATTAATTTATTCATACTCTGCGTTTGGAAGCGTAATAAATACAATTTTTTCAAGATCTAACTAAAAATTACATCACAAATAACGTATTTTTACACATAACTATGTACAATTGACTAGGGTACATTTCAGTTCTTCGACGTCTTTCCTTACAATTTATTATATACAACGCTATCATAGTACACTTCTCACTTCATTTATTAAAGTCTTCAATGCATAAGTACCTAACTTTATCACAAATTAGTTATTTATTTACCTCCTGTACTGTATCAGGAATAATATTAATGAGGAACCTTAAAATACCAGTTATTGCGTAAAATCTATCAAAAGGAATGCATTGTTTTGTAACAAAGTGCCAAAGGCAGCAAATTCGGAAACTCCCCCTATAAAGGCGGCAATTTCGGAGACAGTTACATTTACATAGAAAGACAAGAGAAGATAAAGGATATAAATTACGTATTTATAAAAGTAATTAATGCGCTTTGTAGTTTAATTTATATTTATATATCGTCTTACACCTACATTTGTGCAAAGATATATTTCGTACGTCCGCGTTCTTTTACATTTTTACAACATTCCTTTCAGCACCAGATAAGACAATTATTTCTCGATAAAACCGACAATTATTTCTCCATAAAACAAACATAAAACCAATGTTAATTAAATATAATGTAATATATTTACAGTCTGATTAAAAGGACAAATCATATAGATATACATTTTATACAAAGTAAGTCTTTCTCATATTATTAGGTCTAGTATTTGACATAGGAATTTGTTGTAAGGGCCTCAAAGGCCTTTCCTCACACTGATGATTGTCAATAGAAACATAACTATGGTGGTGAGGAAGTCGGTCATCAGGTCGACCGTCACTGCTTGCCACCGAGCAAGTCTCGTCCTCAGTACTGCGCGCCGACACCTCCGCGCTGGCACTCGTCGAGTGCATTGGACTTGACATCTTAAGTATAGGCGGAGCCATGCCATACTTATACCAAGGGTCGTGAGATGTCGGCGGCGCAGTGTACCTCAAATTGCCATGCCTCCCAAACCCATCTCTGTTCCCACTTTTCAAATTATTCGCATTATAAAGCGTCCGATTGGGCAATGTCACGTCCACATCCGGTAACCGAAAATTTAGCCTCTCCCAACAATTTCTCTCACCCCACACTATCACTGTACACGTTTTTAGCAACACTTTTAAGTCCGGATCAATAGTTATGGCACCCAAGTCCGTTGTCACTAGGAATATAATCTTTTGGCGTCTATGTCTAACGTTCACTGAGTTTATAGCACTTTGTATCGCTTCCTTTGATTCCGAGTACCACTCTTGCTGCAAAAAGTTAATTGATAACACTATAACAAGTCTTTTAGAACTTTCTACAGCACTCACTAAACTATCACTGGAGCGTCTTTCGATCAACTGCAAGTCGCGATGTTGTAAACACAACGAATGTCTCGATTTTTCTAACTCGGAACTCACTGCACGAGTCACGAAGTCTTCATCCCGCGGATTGTATACAAAGAAAGCGTCGTAGCGTTTGTTTTTATTGTCATTCATGTCCTTTGGCGTGGAACTAAATACTCTTACACCATATTTCGAATGCATCCACAATTTAAAATCTTCTCTAAACATGAACAGTAGAGCACACATAAGTAAGAGTATAATTGCTATTATCAGCACCACTGCGATGTACGGGATGTAATTTTCGACACCGTCATTCGCTTCGATGAATAATCGCTTTAGAGTTTCTGTGCCGGTTTCTTCTGTAGTGGTATCTGTTTTACATTCCTTTGCCACGGTTGCGATAGTTTTGTTCATTGGCTGGCCGCGAGCGAAGTAGCACATCATGGTCTCGGTATCTTTTGATTTTTTTATTAACCACTGGTTCAGCTGAGCTACGTCTTTACAATCACAAATCCAGTTGTTCCCATCTACAGAAACACGCGTGCGAGGATTGTTGTCCGTAATGACTCTCCATGGCATATAATCAACGTAACCGTTGTTGTTAAGGTCTAAGAATTCCAGTGATGGCAGGTAATTAAAAGTATCATTTTCAATTACCTTTATTTTATTGTCTCCTAAATAAAGCTCATTCAAATTCTGTAATTTCGTAAACTGCGTGTTCCTCAGTACTTCGATATTATTGTTTTCCAAGTGTAGTATCCTCAACGACTCGATACCGTTAAATGTTCTATTTTGTATTGTGTTAATATTGCTGTTATTGAGATATAAAACTTGTAGTCGTTTTTTACCGATGAAAACGTGATTTCCTAATTCTTTTAGATCGTTACCATCTAAGTATATTTCGGTCGCGTCCATCGGTATTCGATCGGGTACGTGATCGTAGCCGGCATCCGAACAATCGACCACATTGGAGTTCCAGGTGAGATCATGATAACACGAACATCTATCTGGACAAGTCATCTTACAATCGCAGGCGTCAAAGTCACAACAATGACACAAGGTGAAACAATGTGAATCGTACTCGCACAAAAATTCGGAAGATTTTACTTCAAGTAATAGCACATCCGATTTTGTTCGTGAATGGGTTAAAGAGCACCTTACACTTTCTAAATCCATTACTCTCGGGCGCTGCCTCAGGTCACTTAATTGGTTAATTCTCTGCAGCCATTCCATTGTGCAGTCGCACGCAAATGGATTTTCACTGATGTAGAACTCCGGTAAATCTTTCTCGTCTGGAACTGTCGATATTGCAAAAGCTCCGACTTCGAGTGTTTTTATATTATTTGAATAAAGAATAACTTTATTCAGGTTATATTTTTGTAAGAACGTTCCTGGGTTTATCTTTTCAATATGGTTATTATTCAAAACCACGGTCTCAATACTGCTTGGAAAAGAAAACTCATCAATATTTCTTATTTTGTTGTAGCTAACATCGAGCATTTTTATGTTACATGACTCCTTCACACCATAGGTATCTTCAAGTTTTTCAATCTTATTTTCGTGCATATCCAGCCACTCCAAATTCGTTGGTATATGACTGTAATCAAACCAAAGCAGTTCATTGTTTGACACATTTAGCCACACGAGAGGTTGTGTGTTGGTAAATATTCCTTTTAAATCTACCAATTTGTTGCCGTCCAATCCAATAGCTTTCAATTGCTGATTCGATGCAAAAGCGCCGTCGTCTATTTGATCTATGTTATTCGATGCTAAATTCAATATTTGCAGAGATGGTAAAGCCGCAAATGTATCCTTTGATATTTTCTCTATTTTGTTTCCCACAAGGCGTAAGCCATATAAGTCGTCTAAGCCTTCAAATTGCGTTGTTGTTACTTTTGTAATTCTGTTCATACCCAAGTCTAGGGATGTCAAAAATCTCAACGTTTTTATGGCTTCAGGTACCTCTGATAACTGGTTACCACTAAGACCCAAATCATGAAGCTTGGTAATATTTTCAAAGGAGCGTAAGTCTACTTTTGTTATTCTGTTTCCATCAAGGAATAACTGGTTTAAAACATAGAGATTTGAAAAATGATTACTATCTACTTCTATGATGTTATTGTGAGCCAATGAGAGCGAATGTAAATTTTTCAAGTTGGAAAATGCTCCATCTGCTATACGTGCGATATTGTTGTACTCTAAGCTCAAAAACTGTAAATTGTTCAAGTCTTGGAATAGCAAACCGTCTATCTTCGTTATTCTATTGTGGGACAAATTCAAAACAATGAGACGAACTAATCCAGAGAACGTGTCTCTGTTCACCCACTCGCTTGTGAGCTCATTAACGGATAAATCTAGTATTTGCAATTGGTCTAGTCCTTCCAAAAGTCCAGGTGCGAGTACACTCAATGAATTATTGTTCAAGTATATTTGCTTTATATCTCTTGATGATTGGAACATTTCAGGAGGCAATGCAGTTAAAGCATTCGTTGACAAATTAAGTAATTGCAAGTCACTCAGACCAACAAAGGCTCGGTCTGCAACATTTGATATTCTATTGTTTTGCAAGAACAGTTTTTGAAGCGCACGTAAGCTTGATAGACCGTTATCAGGAAGTGAACCTATTTCATTATACGACATATCTAACGTTTCTAAAACTGTGTTACAAGATTTTCCTGGCGCTGTTGGGCCGTTGCCCCAGTCTGAAAATCCCATATTCGATATGTCTTGTAGTCTGTTTTGTGTCGCATTTAACTCCTTTAAATTGTACAGGGGGCAAAATATCTCTGAAGGTAAAATCCAGATATTATTGTCACCAAGATCTAAACTTCTCAAATCTGTCAGTCCTCGAAAACTATCTCTATGAAACTCCATAGACATAGCCGACCAATCCGTATTGTGGGTCCGTATGCTTAAAGTTCTCAACCCACTAAGCGGCGATAGGACTGCAGAGGGCACGTAACGAATTTTGCACGATTCTATTCTCAGTTCTTTCAAGTTGTGAAATCTGGACAAGAGCTCCGTCCCTTCTTCTTTCCTCCGTCCAACGTCGAGAGAGCTCTCAAAGAAGAGCACATCCGTGCAGTGAAGGTCGAGCGCAGTGATGCGCTGAGCCTGGGAGGCGCTTAGGCCAGCGAGCAAGTCGGTGGCACCGGCGGCGGTTCGCAGTGAGCATGCGAGCTGCACACGCGTGGGTTCACCGGCGCCGCCCGATACACGCTGCCACTCGCACTCCTGCGGCGCCTCCGCCACCCGGCTCGTCAGCGACGCGCCACTCACGCCCAACCACATCCAACACCATGTCACACACCACACACCCAATAATCCCATCGATAACATCTCGAAAGACACACTTTTCAATTGTCACTTTATTCAAATTGTCACAGTTTGGCTCGGTGTTATCGCACACATCGCTGAGGCAGTCCGGACGCACTCGGAAAACTTTACGAATTTCCCGTCAAACTTGTTCCGAAGTACGAAACATAACGGCCCGAGTACGGAGAAACGTAGCGCAGCAGACACCACTGAGTGTGGGAAGCGACTGAGTGAGTGACGGCGTGCCGCAAGTTGAGCGACCGGCCGGCACGCTCCCCGCGCGGGGCTCCTCCCCCGACAGGGGCGGCCGATATCGCGATCTCGCTCCGTTTGAAAGTTCACAACGGCAACAAGTTGCTCGCCGCAAGATTGGCATGAACAGGAGCGCGCTTCGCGAGCTTTTATAAACATGGCGGTGCTTACTTTGTTTGTTTTGCCGTAATCATAAAATTTCAATAGCGCCTCTAGTAGTTCTATGAAAAACGTGTGAAACATTCGAGTATAGAGTGTCCTAATAACGCTTCATTACCTCATACCAAACATAAATTCACATATAGGTACACTATCACCTGATATGACATGTAAACTTCCAGTTTACCTACTTCACACAAAGTAACAAAACAAGAAATAAAACGAGCCTAACTCAAAGTCATAACACAAAATAAACCTAAGTAAACATTTACTGAAAACCGGAATCAATTGGCTGGCTAACAAAGATTGTTATCTAAATGCGCACTAACATCGCGGATGTGGGCTATTCAACGCACTGATTACATTTCACGTATTCTGGTGAAACTTTAGAATAAACCCTTTGTTCTGAGAGTATCCGCAGGGTGACTCACGCCGCAACGATAATGCTTATCAGTAGACTTGTCAAATCGTGCACCTGATGACATCATGGGCAAACAGGTGATTTCGCATTCCATAACCCCTGTGACAAATACTGAAGTTATTTTGAGTAATTTGCTATTGCACGTTATTGTTACTTAAAAAAATAACTGTATAAAAATTGGAAATTATTTATTATCCATTTATACCTAATGTGTTGCAATCGCTAAAACCTAAGAGCTCAATAACTATCTAAGAATATTATTGGATCTAGATTGCAAATATAATTAAAAATCATGTACAATGTCGATGTAAAATAAACCGTCAAAATACCGTAGCAGTGTAATAAATAAATAATAATATTTGTGAATATAGAAACAATCGCGTCGATTCAGGGAAAAGCAATATATTTTTTTAATTTAAATTCATTGCATCTTACTTTTACGTTATCCGTAAAAAGGACACGAGATATATAGAGTTGACAGTGTAGTCGCCACAGTCTAGACTACTCCGTAAATAGGAGAGTTATATACATTATGACTATTTTTACTGCTTTAAACAAAAATGAATTTTCTAATTTTTTTACTGACATTGATATACAATATAATAATAAATAATAAATTTAAATTAAGTTTAGTTTGCTTTACTAAATACGTTGAAATGTTTAACCTTTATAACCACAGCACGATGAAATACAAATATTATTACCAGAGTATAAACACATAAAGTGAATAATACCTCCCTTTGAAACCTCGGAATTATTGTATTACATATATTTTTTTCTATATTTGTGATGTGTATTTAGCAATTACTTTAGTACGATAGCGTGTTTAGAAGAAAAGTTTGTTTTAATTAATCATTCCGGGATTTTGGAAGGAGGTGTTAACCGCTCTATGTATGTTTATTATTGGAATTTTAGGTAAAAACACTCTACCTATTTGGATCTTTAATTACGTTATTATTTATGTTATTGCCTGTGTAAAAGTAACTGTTGTGAACTGTAAAAATGAGAAACCCACACAATATAAATTTTACTAAAGAGTGATCTAACGTGTCTAACAATTATTTAAAAAGTTAGGAATGAAACTATTTTTCCGGATTTAAATCGCGTATATTTGTTTTTTCAAACAAACCGACGTTTCGGGCCCTTTACAAGTCCCATGGGCCAGGTCCCAGTCAACCGTGACCATGGGACCTGTAAAGGGCCCGAAACGTCGGTTTGTTTGAAAAAACAAATATACGCGATTTAAATCCGGAAAAATAGTTTCATTCCTATGTATAACAATCGCGAAAACCTAAGAACTCGATATTTAAAAAGTTGTTAAATGTAGCCTAATGAATAGTTTTAAAATGAAAATAAGTTATAAAGTACAATTACGGTTACTAATTGTTGCTTCATAACGCACATTGAAAAGTGTTTTTATGACATTTAATATTGCCACTTGCTTAATGAGTTCTAAGAAAATTCGTATCTAATTAGGGCTTGATAAGTAGGTTACCAATATTTGTTTTTATCTTGTTTTTACGTCTTTTTTTTACTACATTCTCCATATGAGGCATAAGAATCGTCTCGTTGACCGTGCACATGTGGTACGGTAAGGTAGTCAGAACACTTACCGAAACGGAAACTCATTAAGCCAGTCTGGAAAAACTTTCTGTCCAATAAGAGTGAAAAAGACGTGTGTTTCGCGTCGGAGCCTTCTCATAGGCTCAAGCCGTTATTAAGTGCTTTGTAATGTGTATAAAAGTTTATAACATTGTCCCCAAATACATTAAAAATGAGGTTCATCAAAATTTAGTAGCAATAGAGCTCCTTGTGAAAGAGTTCGTCCAGGGAAGTACTACCACCTTACCCATTTCTACCGCCAAGCAGTAATGTCAGCATTACTGTGTTCCGGTTTTGAAGGGTAAGTGTGCTGGTGAAATTACAGGCACATGGGACTTGTCAACATATGTCTCAGGGTGACGGGCGCTGTGGAATTGCCCCTTAGATCTTTGCGATTTAAAGCTCTGAGTGGCACTGCAACTGTTATGGACAGGCGTGTAGCTCACTAAAAATGTTTATAAACGTTGCAAGAATTTTTCGCATCTCTCATAAATAATGTTAATAAATAAGATGACCTGTATTAAAATCGTTGTAACAGTTATTAGAAGAATGCATATTATTTTTAACTTTAATACTGTCTTAACTTATATTATTGATACTTTAATAATTTAAATTACTTTTTAATCTGATATTGTATATAATTTCTTAAATTATAGTTTAATAATGAAGAAATTTATTTTATCTCAAACAAGTTGCAGTGCCCTGCAGGGTTACATGGCTGTACTTTATATTATTTTAAGAACTATTATATTACCCATGTAATGCAATGAATTAATGAATATGAATAAAAGTGTAATGACTCCTTACACTAAAAAATCTTTTGTCTTACGCAAATTAAAACATGCAATATAAAACGCATGCGTAAGACCTTTGTAATCAATAAGACCACAAACATTTGCATTGAATTACATAAAGAAAGTACCTTTTTGAGTTTTTTACCCAGTGGCGGGACGAACAATTCGTGCGCCGGGCGGTAAGCGACTCAGTACCACTCAGAGCTTTCAATAGCAAAGATCTGATGCACTGCCACTACATCCGTCACGCTGAGACGTAAGTTGACATGTCCCATGTGCCTGTAGTTTTACTAACACCCTTCAAAATCGGAACGCTGAAATATCAGCATTATTGCCAGGCGGCAGAAATACTCCCTGGGCGAACTTTTTCACAAGGAGCTCTACTGCTACTAAACTGCTACTGGGTTTTTAACCAACCGCAGCAGATTGTAAAAAATTGTGATGAATATTTTGGATTTTATTCATATCTTAGAGTTAAAAATAATGCTCTTATTAGAATTAATAAACTTACAGTCTGTCTTTTTGGATGTTTATCCAGATTAGTCTCTGAACCGGTTAAATGTATTGATAGATTTTAAAGTTTGTATGAAAAAGGATTAACAAGATGAACCGTGAAAAAAAGGCAAATATTTTGTTTTTATCATTAAATAACGTACCCCTGTAAGGGGTTCATCGTTTTGTACGAGGAAATCTTATTTGCGGGATCTGTTGCGCAAACAACAAAATATGTATTTTTAATTTTTAAGAATTAACTTACAGTTCTTACTTACCTATTTATATGAGAACGAATATAGAGGCATAGCCCTTTTTCCTTTTTAAACGACTTCAAAAAAGAATGAGGTTCTCAATTCGCATGCATATTTTTTTATGTATGTTATGTGATAACTTCGGCATTTGTGAACTGATTTCGATTATTTTTTTTTTTGTTGTAAAGAGGGTACCTCAGTGGTGGTTCCATTTAAATTTGGAGAAAATATTCCACTTCTAAGGTAGGCAAACTAGGATATAAATGACTTTTTTAGTATTCTGAGATTATTATCTACTGCTTTCGAGCGCACGTATGATTCAGAGCACTCAAATTATTTCGACCAACAGAGCACAGCAAATGTTTACCGACGACATTCTTGCAAACGTTAAACCCTTTAAAAAAAATAAACATATTATCCGGCCATTGGCTAGACTAGACACATTTCAAAAAAGTTAAGCATTTTATAAGTTGCGTACGTTATACACAGTTACATACACTATACGTAATACTTAGAAGTCGTAGAATTTGCACGAAGGTGTGCCGCGACATGTACGGCATTTATTACGCTTCGGCCTTTGACATTAATATAAAAAGGTATTTAAGATTGAAAATATGTTTTATCACTTATCAATCAACATTTATCGCGAGATGAAAGCAGGCGGGCGTGTGTAAAGGGCTTTATTAGAGCACTCGGCGGCGAAAATGCCGCAAAGAGTTAACTGATCGCAATGAGGGCACTACGCCTGAGAGAAGAGTCGTTTGCCGCCGATAAAATAGTGTGGACTCATTTAAAAAGTTTCATACGTATTCACATCTACGTATGAAAACGATTTTCTCTAGTAGCAATGCCCAAAACTTCTTACTTTTCCTATACGCCGTGTACTTGACACTTAAGATTGAAATTCAACTCTATGCCGATTACGATAGGAACGGTCCAAATTGTTAAGCTTGATCTTCCTTTTGATTTTTCGAATTTGAGTAAAATGTAGTTATTGTATAATATCTCAGTACAGAGTACTGAAAAACCGACGTCAAAAGTTCGTGGAATTACATTTATTTGCCAAGTTGTATTGAAATCGGTTACCGGAAAGTGCGCGAAACCGGATTAATCTCGTAGTTTGCCTTAGAAGAGGAATATTTTCTTCAATAATTAAATGGGACCAATACTGAGATACCCTCTTTCCTACAAAAAAGTACTCATCAAAATCGGTTCACAAATGCCGCGGAGTTATTGCATAACA